ATTGGTAGTGACCACAAACCCTCATAATAAAATTTACTAACTTTCACCCACCAACCCACCCGCTTACGTTTCCCAAGTGGAACATTAAGTACCTAGACAAGAAAAAATGGGCTGATATTGTCCGCCTCCCAGACACAGACGAAGTAGACCCTAACAAGCCCCTGTCCACAATCACCTCGGCCATAAATTCTGCAGCCACCCAAATGCTTAAGAAAACTTCAGGACATAGGTCCAACAAACCACTTAAACCGTGGTGGAACGCGGAATGTGCACGAACAGTCGCTTTACGCCGACGAGCCATTCAAAAACAAAGACGTCAACCCTCCCTACAGAACTGGGCCAATCTCCGGCGGGCTACAGCAGCGACCAAAAAAACCATACTATCAGCAAAACGAGCATCATGGGCAACATTCTGTGATAGCCTCACACCCACAACGCCACACTCAAAAGTCTGGGCTACATTTAACAGCATTAAAGGTCGCCCAACATTCCCTTCGTTTCCCCTGATGATCAACGGTTCACTCTGTCAAACACCTCAGGAGCGTGCAAATGTTCTCGCTGAATGCCTTAAAGTTACCCTCTCAACACCCTTCCTTCATGCCCAAGAACTCTCCCTCAGACAAGAAATTGACCGTGCCATACCGCTGCCCATGCTCGGCGTCGACAACATGTACACCTTAAGCGAGCTACGATTGGCCTTAAACCGCCTACCTCTTGGCAAGGCACCTGGAGAGGATGGAATTCCATATGAACTCTTCAAATATCTTTTACCGACTGCACACAGCACTCTTCTAAACTATTACAATCTATGCTGGACTCACGGAAATATTCCTTCACAATGGCAGACCAGTATTATTCTTCCGTTCCTTAAACCAGGAAAAGACCCATCCCAACCTGCGTCATACAGACCTATCTCCCTACTATCATGCCTCAGTAAAGTCATGGAAAGGCTAGTACATACTCGCCTCCAATGGTACCTAGAGTATAACAATATTATACCGCCACTCCAAGCTGGATTTCCACCGCAATGCTCCACGCTAGATCAAATACTCTGCCTTGAATATGAAATCTGCACCTTTCTCAGAAGCAGTAAATATTGTCTTGTTGTCTACCTAGACCTCAAAGGAGCTTTTGATAGCATTCCTCATACTTGCCTCCTAGCAAAGCTTGCACGTTTAGGCGTACAGGGAAGATTACTTTTATGGTTACAGTCCTATCTCACAAACAGGACCTCCAAAGTCTTTATACAAGGCGAGTTTTCCGATGGCATCCCAATACAAACAGGTGTTCCACAAGGCTCCATACTAAGCCCAACCCTATTTGCCGCATTCTTAGCAGATTTGCCTAACACCCATCCTGTTCACCTCTCAGCGTACGCCGACGACTTAACATTGTAGTATTCAGACAATGCCCTACCAAATACAGTCTCTACAATGCAAACAGCACTGGACCACCTCATAGATTGGACACAACAATAGGGCCTTCAAGTCAGTACTACCAAAACCTGCTATCAGATTTTCACTAAAAAAAGACTACTTCATCTACCCACCCTCACAATACACAACACTCCCATCCAACACGTACGAGAACATAAATATCTTGGCATGCGCTTAGACTCCCCCTTACTTACCTGGAAAGCACACATTCAACACCTTAAACAGACGACACAACCCCGACTCGCCATACTTAAAGCCCTCACTGGCACCACCTGGGGAGCACACCATAAAATCTTGCTCCGTTTCTATACAACCTACATTCGCAGCCAACTAGACTATTGTTGCCAAGCATATGCGTCGGCTGCGCCTACTAACCTACAGAGCCTCGAGGTCATACAAAATAATGCCATGCGACTTATATGTGGCGCAATGCGTTCAACTCCAATCCTCGGACTTTACGGGGAAACGGGCCTCACAAGCCTAGCCACCAGACGAGACATAATGTGTGCCAACTATCTGTCACTCTGTACCACTGCTCACCAGACACACCCATACAGATAAAAAATTAACCCAACAGTTAACCCACATAACCCCCGATCACCAACCATTCACTCGCAACCTTTCCTCACACGGGCTACCAATAACCTCAATATAGACCTCTCCCTACTCCAAAACTGTGAAACCCAACTTCCTGTCCACCCCATTCCACCTTGGCTTTATACAACTCCTAATATAGCAATACAACTCGAAGACAACATTCCAAAGTCTGCACCAAACTCAGCCATAGCCTCAGTTTTTGCCTCAACAATGAAAAATTGCTACCCAAACACCACAGAGATTTATGCAGATGGGTCTCGCATCTTCATGAACCACGTACCCTCGGTCACTTGCGCTGTATGGATACCGGAATACCATCTCAAGAAGGGATGGCGGTTACCAAACCAACTATCTATTTTCACAGCGGAATTATATGCCTTACATCAATCTCTCCAAATCATCACAACATTACCAGTTGGGATATTTACAATCTGTAGTGACTCCAAGAGCGCGAAACAAGCAATTGCGTACTCTTCGAAAACATGCAAGGAGATAGTCTACCCATGCCTTCAACTTCTTCACAAACATCAATTAAACGGTTATGACACCTCTATCCAATGGGTCCCAACATATTGTGGTATTCTCCATAATGAACTTGTAGACCAACTAGCCAAAGCGATGCAAACACGCCTCACCTTACCCGTCATCCAATTCTACATGTTGCACGTAAAGGAGCCTTCAAAGATACCATCTCCCAGGATTTTGCAACAAACTGGAAAACGTTATGCTCACCTTTGCACTACGGGTCCATTAAAAGGAAATGGGAAACCTGGAAACATGTCCGTTAAAAAAAACAGAGAAATTGATGTAACGATGACCAGATTAAGGCTGGGACATACCAAACTAGCAGCACACAGCTCTAAGTACAGAACAGACATCAATGAACTCTGTACTCACTGTCAGATGCCTGAAACAGTCGAACACTATCTCCTGCACTGCTTCCGACATCATAGTGCCAGAGTAAATTTCAAACAAGTCTTTATCGCACTTAAAATACCCTTCACCATCGAGCATATATTAGGAGGCGGTGACCACTCGTTACAAGAAAAATACCAAATAGTCAAAGCACTGGCTAAATATCTGCAGTCGACCAACAAATTGGGTCACATCTGACCCGCGCCACATTTATACCTGGCGCCACCAACAGCTAAACACAGAAAACAACTGCCTCGTCGCAGCCCCAAGGATCAGCTGACGCCATAAACACAACACACCGCCCTACGGTGCGGAAGTCTCCCTCTAACACACACCTCTGTTTTAATCACCGTTCCTCTATCTACAGCACAACGCAACAAGCACCTTTGGTAGCTCTTATCCTCAACATAAACGCGTCCACCAACATCAGTACTGGTGCAGTCATCGGGAGGACAAACCCTTCATGCAAACTGCACCTACTATCAACAAGAAGAAGAAGAAACGACAGTGAAAAGAAACATAAGAAATATTGAAAAAATTCGTATTACAATTATTAATCTTTCCTTTTCGGTCATATTTAACAATATATGTTTACAAGAGAGATTGCTACCAAAATATACTAAAATGTATTATATATATATATATATATATATATATATATATATATATATATATATATATATATATATATATATATATATATATATATATATATGTCGTACCTAGTAGCCAGAACGCACTTCTCGGCCTACTATGCAAGGCCCGATTTGCCTAATAAGCCAAGTTTTCCTGAATTATTATATTTTCTCTAATTTTTTTCTTATGAAATGATAAAGCTACCCATTTCATTACGTATGAGGTCAATTTTTTTTTATTGGAGTTAAAAATAACGTAGATATATGACTGAACCTAACCAACCCTACCTAACCTATCTTTATAGGTTAGGTTAGGTAGCCGAAAAAGTTAGGTTAGGTTAGGTAGGTTAGGTAGTCGAAAAACAATTAATTCATGAAAACTTGGCTTATTAGGCAAATCGGGCCTTGCATAGTAGGCTGAGAAGTGCGTTCTGGCTACTAGGTACGATATATATATATATATACATACATATATATATATATATATATATATATATATATATATATATATATATATATATATATATATATATATATATATATATATACCAATACGGCAGCCATGGTCTCATCTGTCGTAAGACACAGGGAAAGATTGCCAGACATGAAGCAGTCAATGACATCATCAAGAGAAATTTGGCTTCAGCTGGGTGTCTAGCACAAAGGGAACCTCAGTTGTGCAGGCCTGACAACAGCCAAAAACGCCCAGATGGAGTCACCCTGCAGCCGTGGAGGAAAGGTAAACAGGTCGTGTGGGACTACACGTGCGCGTCTACATTGGCTGATACCTTACAGCATAGCTGAGGGAGGCGGGGCGGCCACCTTCAGGGAGACCCAGAAAACCAACAAGTACAGAGACCTAGAATGTTGTTACAGGTTCGTGCCGATAGGCTCTGAGACTCTAGGTGCCTGGGGTAAATGTGCACTTAAGTTCCTGAAGGTGGGGGGTAAGGACCTCACTGGGAAAACTAGAGACCCAAGAGCGGCCAATTTTATGTTCCAGCGCCTCAGTGTCGCAGTTCAGAGGGGAAATGTGTGCTGTATCTTGGGTACGCACCCGACCTCCGAAGAGCTGGACGAGGTCTTCCAACACTGATTGTTATATTGTTATATAAGTGTGTGTTCTCTGTAAACTGTAGCATTGCAAAAAAAAAAAAAAATATATATATATATATATTTTTGAGAGTAAAATGCAATGGAGTACTAATCAATGAAATAACCAACAATTAATAAAACTAATGAAGAATACAGTGTGTATTGATTAGTTTCTGGTGCCCACTAACCGCTCTCTCTGGTCACATTAGACCCATGGACAGAGAGAGGCTGGGACAGAGCCAATTAGCTGTTCCACTTCCTTAACCTTGTGGGCAGGACTTCTCTCTTCTCGCAGCAGGAGGCCCAGTGGCCCAGGGATGCATCACTCACCCATGTCCTCAGGTAAGCTCTCGAGACCCAATAACTCCTCCGCGCCTCCGAGAAATCCTGACTTTTCATTATCGTTGCTGAAATAAATCATTTAAAACATTGCGCAAAGTATAGAGTTCAGACAGTTGATCGGGAAACTCCTGCAGAATGGAGTGCTCTTGAAGACTTCATTCCAACCTTTGTTCCACTAATATATCTTAAACTTACTGGTAGGTTACACGGCCTCTGTTGTTCATACTGTGTTTTCTGTTATACCACTCCAACTTACAACTGGGTTGTATTTTACATGTTACCTGGTAAACCCAGTTTGTATTCTTCATGTAACATGATGAACCCAAGTTGTATTCTTCATGTTACATGATGAACCCAAGTTGTATTCTTCATGTTACATGATGAACCCAAGTTGTATTCTTCATGTTACATGATGAACCCAAGTTGTATTCTTCATGTTACATGATGAACCCAAGTTGTATTCTTCATAATCACTATTTCATCTGTGAAGATGATTACAACTTGCCTGATATCGACTTCAAGTTAACTTCAACTTTGGCTTCCGGCCCCGAGGCCAGCAGGCTTGTCTAATGATTGATTACCCTCGTGAAGCACCTGATGCTGCCGCCCTTACGGCAGAACCATCCGCAATGCGAGAAGCGGGCTCTAACAGCCTGGTTGACCATACCACCCAACAAGAGGCCTGTTCAGAGACTAGGGCGAGGGGAGCAGACATTCATCTCCGGAGCCGTCACAAGGTGCACCACAGGTAGCCCGCTCACGGAGGAGAGGCAGCCTCCCTACGTCTGAGAGTAAGGCTTCCCTCACTTACCCACAGCTTCCTCCCTCCATCCTGGAAGGTAAACAACGACCCGACACACAGTCCACGTGCACACACACACACACACACACACACACACACACACACACACACACACACACACACACACACACACACATGGAGGGGGGGTGGGTGGCCTGGTAGTCTGGTGGATAGCGCGTAGGACTCGTAATTCTGTGGCGCGGGTTCGATTCCCGCACCAGGCAGAAACAAATGGGCAAAGTTTCTTTCACCCTGAATGCCCCTGTTACCTAGCAGTAAATAGGTACCTGGGAGTTAGTCAGCTGTCACGGGCTGCTTCCTGGTGTGTGTGTGTGTGTGTGTGTACTCACCAATATGTACTCACCTATATGTGCTTGCAGGATCGAGCATTGACTCTTGGATCCCGCCTTTCTAGCTATCGGTTGTTTACAGCAATGACTCCTGTCCCATTTCCCTATCATACCTAGTTTTAAAAGTATGAATAGTATTTGCTTCCACAACCTGTTCCCCAAGTGCATTCCATTTTTCTACTACTCTCACGCTAAAAGAAAACTTCCTAACATCTCTGTGACTCATCTGAGTTTCCAGTTTCCACCCATGTCCCCTCGTTCTGTTATTATTACGTGTGAACATTTCATCTATTTCCACTTTATCAATTCCCCTGAGTATTTTATATGGCCCTATCATATCTCCTCTCTCCCTTCTTTTCTCTAGTGTCGTTAGGTTCAGTTCCTTCAGCCGCTCTTCATATCCCATCCCTCGTAACTCTGGGACAAGCCTCGTCGCAAACCTCTGAACCTTCTCCAGTTTCTTTATGTGTTTCTTCAGGTGGGGGCTCCATGATGGCGCGGCATACTCTAAGACGGGTATGTGTGTGTGTGTGTGTGTGTGTGTGTGTGTGTGTGTGTGTGTGTGTGTGTGTGTGTGTGTGTGTGTGTGGCGTGGAGAAAAAAATAGTTAGTAAAACAGTTGATTGACTGTTAAGAGGCGGGCCGAAAGAGCAAAAGCTCAACCCCCGCAAACACAACTAGGTGAATACACATACGCCCACACACACATACGCCCACATACGTAGAACCCTGCCACAACTAGGTGACTACACACATATACGTCCCATTGGCTTTATCGTATTAAAAAAGTTTTCTGTTTGTCAGTTAAGCAAACTTTTTTTTATTTAAGCTGACCATACACGTCGTGAGGCTTCGTCGTAGACAAACACCAAACAGCGTCAGCTTAATCCTCTCGGAATTTATCGTCAGCTTCCGAGTTTTATTGCGGCAATTTTTGTTATCGTATCCATTGTCCACCACTGTTTACACTCCTGGTCACACCGTCGTCAACTGGTGATATCTTGCCGCCGACACCAGGACGGCCCCCCCCCCCCACACTGTAAACCCTGCTACAGCTCTCCCAGCCCCCCTACCCCCCACACTGTAAACCCTGCTACTGCTCTCCCAGCCCCCCCACCCCCCACACTGTAAACCCTGCTACTGCTACAGCTCTCACAGCCCCCCCCCACCCCCCACACTGTAAACCCTGCTACTGCTACAGCTCTCCCAGCCCCCCCACCCCCCACACTGTAAACCCTGCTACTGCTACAGCTCTCCCAGCCCCCCACCCCCCACACTGTAAACCCTGCTACTGCTACAGCTCTCCCAGCCCCCACCCCCCACACTGTAAACCCTGCTACAGCTCTCCCAGCCCCCCCACCCCCCACACTGTAAACCCTGCTACTGCTACAGCTCTCCCAGCCCCCCCACCCCCCACACTGTAAACCCTGCTACTGCTACAGCTCTCCCAGCCCCCCCACCCCCCACACTGTAAACCCTGCTACTGCTACAGCTCTCCCAGCCCCCCCACCCCCCACACTGTAAACCCTGCTACTGCTACAGCTCTCCCAGCCCCCCCACCCCCCACACTGTAAACCCTGCTACTGCTACAGCTCTCCCAGCCCCCCCCCACCCCCCACACTGTAAACCCTGCTACTGCTACAGCTCTCCCAGCCCCCCACCCCCCACACTGTAAACCCTGCTACTGCTACAGCTCTCCCAGCCCCCCCACCCCCCACACTGTAAACCCTGCTACTGCTACAGCTCTCCCAGCCCCCCCACCCTCCACACTGTAAACCCTGCTACTGCTACAGCTCTCCCAGCCCCCCACACACACTGTAAACCCTGCTACTGCTACAGCTCTCCCAGCCCCCCACACACACACTGTAAACCCTGCTACTGCTACAGCTCTCCCAGCCCCCCACACACACTCTAAACCCTGCTACTGCTACAGCTCTCCCAGCCCCCCCACACACACTGTAAACCCTGCTACTGCTACAGCTCTCCCAGCCCCCCACCCCCACACTGTAAACCCTGCTACTGCTACAGCTCTCACAGCCCCCCACACACACTGTAAACCCTGCTACTGCTACAGCTCTCCCAGCCCCCCCCCACCCTCCACACTGTAAACCCTGCTACTGCTACAGCTCTCCCAGCCCCCCACACACACTGTAAACCCTGCTACTGCTACAGCTCTCCCAGCCCCCCCACCCTCCACACTGTAAACCCTGCTACTGCTACAGCTCTCCCAGCCCCCCCCCCACACACACTGTAAACTCCGTTACAGCTACAGCTCTCCCAGCCCCCCCCCCCACACACTGTAAACCCTGCTACTGCTCTCCCAGCCCCCCCCACAGACACTGTAAACCCTGCTACTGCTACAGCTCTCCCAGCCCCCCACACACACTGTAAACTCCGTTACAGCTACAGCTCTCCCAGCCCCCCCCCCACACACTGTAAACCCTGCTACTGCTCTCCCAGCCCCCCCTACACACACTGTAAACCCTGCTACTGCTACAGCTCTCCCAGCCCCCCCACACACACTGTAAACCCTGCTACAGCTCTCCCAGCCCCCACCCCCACACACTGTAAACCCTGCTACTGCTACTGCTCTCCCAGCCCCCCCCCCCCACACACTGTAAACCCTGCTACTGCTACAGCTCTCCCAGCCCCCCCACACACACTGTAAACCCTGCTACAGCTCTCCCAGCCCCCCCCACACACTGTAAACCCTGCTACTGCTACAGCTCTCCCAGCCCCCCACACACACTGTAAACCCTGCTACTGCTACAGCTCTCCCAGCCCCCCCACACACACTGTAAACCCTGCTACAGCTCTCCCAGCCCCCCCCCCACACACTGTAAACCCTGCTACTGCTACTGCTCTCCCAGCCCCCCCCCCCCACACACTGTAAACCCTGCTACTGCTACAGCTCTCCCAGCCCCCCCACACACACTGTAAACCCTGCTACAGCTCTCCCAGCCCCCCCCCACACACTGTAAACTCCGCTACAGCTCTCCCAGCCCCCCCCCCCCACCCACACACTGTAAACTCCGCTACAGCTCTCCCAGCCCCCCCTCCCCCCCACACACTGTAAACTCCGCTACAGGTCTATCCCAACATTTACATAAACCTGTCACATCTTCAACTGTTCTCTTCATGAATAATACATCGCTATTTAGCAGCGGCCTCAGCTGTCGACGCAGTGTGCCATCAGTGCATAATACGTGATTGTGTAACAAAATTAGTCTAAATATATGGATGACGTGTGAGAGCTTGGTCCAACAGGCACCCGAATGGCCACTTTCTGCACATTCGTCATGACAACGACGAATAAATTATAAACTGGAAGATAATATAATTGGCTGCCAATCCCCCCCCCCCCTAGTGAAGACCCCCATGAATGACACCTTAATCTTCGGGGTAATCAAGTCGGTGAGCCGATCATTTCAACAACAATTAGCAAGAATACAATAGATTAACAAGAATATAGTAAATTAACATGAATATAATTGATTAACACAACTGCAAGAAAAATTAAAAACCGAGTAACAACAACTTTTCATAGCAACACCGATTACAACCACAGCTTAAACTGTCTCAGTTTAAGTTGTACACGTACAACTGTAAAGGCACAATTATACAAGTACAGTTACAGGTACCACAGCTGTTCAGGGACAGCTACGGTACCTGTAACTTCAGGGTTACAGAAAAGCCTGCTTGATGGGGTTCTGGGAGTTGTTCTACTCCCCAAGCCCGGCCCGAGGCCAGGCTTGACTTGTGAGAGCTTGGTCCACTAGGCTGTCGCTTGGAGCGGCCCGCAGGTCCACATACCCACCACAGCCCGGTTGGTCCGGCACTTCTTTTAGAAAACAATCTAGTTTCCTCTTGAAGATGTCCACAGTTGTTCCGGCAATATTTCTTATAGTCGCTG